CAGAGTTAACGTTTTGGGTCCGGTGACCCTTCCTCAGATATACCCTTTCTCTGAGGAATGGTCACCGGACCCAAAATGTTAACTCTGTTTTTTCCTTCACAGATGCTGCCAGACCTGCTGAGCTTTTCCAGCAAATCTGGAAATAGGATTGGCCGATGAAAGTGACACAGGGCAGAGCAGTTTCTCACAGGAACAGCAATACATCAGAGACTTCTATCAGTGTGAACCAGTCATCCTGTACCTCTTGGAAACCAATAAAAGTTTTGGAGAAGGAACATGAAGAAGTAGAATTCTGATCATCTCAACAACATCTCAGCAAACCCTATGGACAGGGACCAGTGAACTGCCCTCCTCCTGGTCTTCCCCTCTACCCTTAACACCCCTTTGTTTACATTTCCTTCTGTGTCTGTCTTTATGTATGTCCAAGGGGATGTTTATAAAAGGAATAGAGTTTCCAAAAACAGTTCATAATAGTTGACCTGTAGCTAATATCTATGTCTTTGTAATGAACAGTCATTTTAGTTAATTACAGAAACCTGGTCTGTACCTTCTGTCAACCTGGGAAATGGGAATTCTGCATACATTATGAAATATTTAACTTTGCGACATGTCTGAGAATAGTGGGCTTTGTTTCCCAAAGCACCCCCAGTGCACAGTGAGGTTTATCACTCAGTCATCCCTTAAGATGCTTTCTATAAGCTCCCTCTTTGACAGAGGTTTTTGTAACCTGTCCCGAATAACATCTCACATAACCCGAGGTCAAAGTTTGAGTCTTTAATGTTCTGCCGAAGCATTCTGGGATGTTTTGATTGGTTAAAGGTCCTGTAAATGAAACTTGCTGTGAAGAGAGAATGCTCTAAAGTTGATGATTTTTATAAGCTTTTACCTCATAGACCTCCTCATCCAGGATCCTTGTCCCAAACACCACGATTCCGTTTGTATCCACAACAGCATTATTACTCCTGGGGAGCGCTTTGGAACTTTTCTTCTTACAGTCTACAATCATCGTCACATTCTTCTTCTGAACGCTGATAGCCACACGATGCCACCTGCAAAACACACAAACTGATAGAAACACGCCACGTACATGGCCCTGGTGTCTGTTATCAAGAAACATTGATGATAGGAGCAGGAATAGGCCATTCAGCCCCTCAAACCTGCCCTGCTATTCAATATGATCATGACTGATCCCACCCTCCCCCTATATCCCTTCATCCCTTTAGCCTCAAGAACTGTACCTAGCTCCTTCTTGAAAACACACATTTTGGCCTAAACTGCTTCCTGTGGTAGTGAATTCCATAGGCTCCCCACTCTCTGGGTTAAGACATTCCTCCTCATCTCAATCCTGAAAGGTTTACCCCTTATCCTTACACTGTGACCCCTGGTGCTGGACTCCCCCACCATCGGGGGCATCCTTCCTGTATCTACCCCAGTCTAGTCCTGTTAGAATTTTGTAGGTTTCTGGGAGATTCATCTAAACTCCCAGTGACTACAATCCTAACCAACTCAATCTGTCCCCCATATATCAGTCCTGCCATCCCAGGAATCAATTTTGTAAACTTTCGCTGCACTCCCTCCATTGCAAGAACATCCTTTCTCAGATTAGGAGACCAAAACTGCACACAATATTCCTGATGAGGCCTTACTGATAACTTGCATAATTGCCGCAAGCCTCCTTGTTCCTGTATTCAAATCCTCTTGCTATGAAGGGCAATATACAGTTTTCCTTCTTTACTGCCTACTGCACCTGCACGCTTACTTTTAGTGACTGGTGAGTGAGGCCACATAGGTGTTGGTGAACATTCTCCTCTCTCAATTTACAGCTGTTCAATTAAAAATTTGCCTCCCTATCTTTGCTACCAAAGTGGATAACCTCACATTGATCCATATGAAACTGTATCTGCCATACATCTGCCCACTCACTCAGCCTGTCCAAATCACACTGAAGCATCTCTGCACCCTCCTCACAGCTCACCCTCCTCACAGCTCACCCTCCCACCCAGCTCTAGGAGTTACTGTACCTCAGGCACTGAAACTGGGGTATTTCTTTGAGATTGTTTGCAATTTCCTCCCTTCCCTTACCTTCACCTGGATCTTCTCTGACTCTTCCTTCTTTCACTTTTGTGTTTCCACTTCTGAGGAGAGGCTATCGATTAATATTCATCATATCACATTGCCACCAACTCCTCACTCCCTGGACCTTGCTCTTCCTCAAGGCCTGCTTCCTGTAAGGACTCCATTCCATCCTCCCAATTTCTCCACCTCTGTGGCATCTGTTTTGATGAGGAGACCATCCAGAACCATTTCCAACATGTCTTCCCCTACCCCACTGTGATTAGCCATGTCTGATCCCTTTGTACAGCTCTGCCTTCACTCTCTTCCCCTCCATTATCCTCACTTTCCACCCACCAGCCTCCATATCAGTCTTGATGAAGGGTCCCAACCTCGATCGTCAACCCTCTGCTCCTCTGATGCTGCCTGACTTGCTGTGTTCCTCCAGCTCCACATTGCATTGACTCTCCACCATCACATCCTTCAGCTGTTTATTATAAATGCAGTCCTCCGACCCTCTCCTTTCACCATCCCCAATTCAGACAGATATTGCCATTCCTCCTCGGTTCAGATCAAAGGTCATCGACCTGCAGTTAGAAACTCTCTCTCCTCAAACAGAATCGCTGACTTGCTGGGACTTTTTGGTTCTTACTCCTACCACTGGAGACACTGCTTTATTGATCAAACTCTTGATCATAATTTTGAACACCTTGATAAAATCCCTCTGAACCTTCCCTGCTGTAATCGCAGCTCCAGCAGAAACAATTGTATATGTGCTGTGTCTCTGTGAAAGCCCAGCACCAGGCAGACATTAACCATTTGGTGAACCCAGACACAGTGATGGTCTCATTCTCAACTCACTCACTTGTTGTCAGCGAGATTAGTTTCAGTGAAAATAGGATAATCCTCTGGCGCTGGGCGACCATTCTGATCCTCGTACAGGAACACAGGAGATCTACCAATCTCCATTCCCAGTTGCTGCACACCTTGCTCATTGTAGATGGAGAACAGGAATGCCTGTGTGTTCCGTTTGGGCTTTAGTGTAACTAAAATGGAGAAATCACGTGGGAACTGTCCACCTGCAATGGGAAACAGTGAGTAAAAAGTGAGAAAACCTTGTACATTTTGAGAGACAACTTGCTATAATATAATGTCACAATTATCTGTTGCTAAAGCGTAGCCAATGTTATAAAGGAGTGAACGTCCCGTTAATCTGTATGTAACAAGATCCCAGGAAATCGCAAGGTGATAATGATCAGACAAACTGTGTGACAGATCATCATTCAAGGCCAAAGGCTCATTCCAGGATGACCAGAGCATCTGCAACAGCACACAGACAGGTGAAACGGAATTGTCCAGAAACAACATAAGAAACACAACGCATCCGACATTGCGGCACTCCCTCAGCACTGACCCTCCGACACTGCGGCACTCCCTCAGCACTGACCCTCCGACA